AGTTATGTGTATTTTGTTGCCATATAAGTAGTATTCCATTGGTAATTTCCACTCAGGCTAAGTGTCTTGCTTATGTCTCGGCTCTGGTCTCTTGACTCTGACAGCAAAGTGTGTGTGCGTGTATCATGGAGATGATAATGATTTTGGTGACAATGTATTGGTGATGCATAGAACGGTTTTCTTGTGTTCAAGTGTTTGGTTTCCTAAGGAAAGGAGACAGCCTCGGACATTTGCTGCATGATGTAAAACTGGACATGAAGAGCTGTAGTGCTATCTGCAAAACACATGCCATAAAGCTACTGGAGTTGTACTGGACTCAGTATATTATTAGAACAGTAGGACCTTACAAGGATTATGTGGGTAACACTGTTACAGAAGTATGACTAAGCCAGGCTCCTTAGGAAACTTAGCCCTGCTTTTCACCAAACTTTGCTGGTTTGTTGTGAAGCTTCCCCAAAGGCTTTTTGCACACTAGAGCAGTGACTGCTGAGAGCTTACTGGCTGGAACCTGGAGCAGATAACAAGGATGCTAATGTGTTCTGGAGGCATTCTGTTCAGTGCTGACAATCTGATTGCATAAAATAGTTTGTCAGTCATTAATTCAAGAGGTTCCTAAAACTTTCTCCCTTTTTCAGAGTCGGAGGCCATATGCGTGTTTTTCTGCTCAGTCTGTGAAAGCAGATTTCACTCGCATGAGGAACTCTTCCCAGTTACACCCTGCTGCCTGCCTGCAAATGGGGATCAATGCAGTGTAGTTTTCAGTCCTGTCTACAAAGAAATTCCTTAAGCTTATGTTTTCCAGCAGTTGGTATCTTTTTTGTTGCTGGCATAACAGAGAGGTGCAGGATGTGCAAGGCTGGGATTAGTGCAGGCAGTTTTGCACTATTTTTTGAAGTTGGCTGTGCTGTCATCACATATTTTACTGCATTCAGTGATTGTGTTACAAGTGAGGCCAAGTAGACTTACTCCCTAATGTTAAAAATTTGGGGGTTATCGTTCTGATCCCCTTGATGCAAAATACCTTTGGTACAGAAATTGGTAGCATAGACAGTTAGGAATCTGTTTAAAAGACATGCAGAAGGGAAATTTTACTGAGCTTTGAAGGGTAAAATATTGTTTATGGAGGAAAATAAATTCTTTACACTGTAATGAAATACAGGAAACTTCAACACAAATGCTAGTCACAGTTTTAAAAGAAGTATTAAGTATGTGTGGAAAAGAAATACTGTAAAGGCAAATTAATTTGGAAGGCCTGATGCAGAAAAAAAACATTTGGAAGCTTTTGAGTTTGTATTTCCACAGAACAGTGTTTATCTGTGCAGAAGGTAATTTGATACTACAGTGTCTGATAGTTTTGATTACTTTCTTTCTCTTTCAGGTAGGTTTACTAAGAGGAAAGTGGAGTACCAAGATTGATTTAGCTGATTGAATTGCTGGATTTTCTTGATGCCTCAGAGTTTTCTTATTAGAATGGGACTGACAGAGATTGTTACCTAGCATATGACAGAGGTAGTATTTACTCACTAAATACTACTTTTAAATATACCAGATATAAACTTGGTGGAAAAGCAGGATTGAGTAGCTGCAGGGGAAAAGTAATGATATTGAAAGTTTTGAGGATAATTTGGACTTGGATTCTTCTATTCCATTTTGCAAGAAGTATACATGTTACAGTAGCATCGCTAATGCTAATGCAGAATAAGATCATGCATGCCGTTAAGTACAAGTATCTTTTACATACATCATAGTGTGATTTAGAGACTTGCAATTGTGTGGTATTTGTGGTTAACTTTCTTAGCCTCAGTGAGGGTGAAAGAAGAGAGGAAGGATAAATTTGTGGTTTAAGTATGAAATTGGAAAATAGGAGATCTGTTTCTGATTTGATGACAGATGATTTGTTTTGTGGGAAAATCCTTTTCTGTTCCTTAATTTCTGCTTATGTAAATGGGAGAGTTACAAAAAGTATTGCCTGATTCTGCTGAATAGGGGACTTAATTCATTAATATTTGTAATGTGTTTTAAGACCAGAGGGAGGAAGTTAACATCAAAAAAATTGGACTTGGAAGAAGTTATTTAATGCCTCTCTCAAAAGTTAAATGGCAGTAGATTGCCCTCACAGAAACATGTTTTACTGGTGTGATTATGTCCAATTCATAGGTACCTGTAATGATGAAGGTAAATTTATAGTTGTTTCTGGGGGATTTCTGTCATATCTGCCATATTTTATCATCTACCATCTCTACTATTATCTGCCAGCCTGGCATATCTGCCACTTGTATCTTTTCAGCTCTTTTTTTCCTTAATATTGCCTGTCCAGTTGATGCCAGGGAGTATTCCAGAAAGTGGTTTTTTTTTCTGTTGTCTTTTTCCCCACACGAATGGTTGTAGCCACAAAATGTATATTATAAACCTGTATTTAGCCCTGCAGGTCAAGTTTTAAATACTAAGACCACTGGGTACAGTCTACCGCAAGTGAAGTAAAGTATTACTGTTAAAGAGGAACAGATCCCATGCATACACAAAAGGTTTATTTCACTGGAGAAAACAAGTAAGCTTCATTTCAACAGAACTGGGTGTCCTGTTCTTTTCGTGCTTTTTTTAGTTGATGATACTTTTATCAACAGTTACATATGTTACTCATGATATTGGTTCTTTAATGGAGTTTAGCACTGCTCTGTATTGTTCTTTTGGAAAAATAAGAGTACTGTGCCAAGTGGTATGTTGAACCGAGCAGTATGGGGATGGAGAAGAGTAAATAAGCATAGTGGAAAGGGTCACTATGTTTGCATGAAATAAGCAACTTTTCAGGCAGAATTTACTTTCCTACCCGCAATTGCTGCGTGCTTTTTGACTTTCATACACAAGGGCACAGCATTTTCAAAATACTATGTCTTCCTCTGTGTTTCTGCTTCACTGTTGCTAATTTGCAGCTAAAAACCTGACTGTCGTGTCACGCTCAACCTGCTGTTTCACCAGTGTCTTTGAAAAAGTTTTCTTGGATGCTTGTTTTTTTTGCCCATGCTCCACTCCATGCTCTGCTTGGGAGCTGGGTACATGGTAGTCATTCATCCAAGTGCTTGATGCACAGCTGCTAGACTTTTATTACTAATGTCTTGCTGAACATCAGCTCAGCCCATGATGTGGCTTCAAAATGTGCCAGGTTTTCATACTGCTTCACAAAACATAAGGCACAAAAGTGCTTCTAGTAATGTTTCCAACAACTTCTCCATCTCTGTCTTCTATGTGTTACCTTGATGCATACCCCCACAACACTGGGGTATGGAAGACAGTTTTATACACATTTAACTTGTCAAGAGATCTGGTTCTTTGCCAGCTTACTCAGTAATCCTTCTAGTGTCCTGAGTATGAGAAACTACCTCATTTAGAAAACACTACTGGCATTGATAAATGTTGTTAAAATAACTGATTTCAGAAATGACTGGATGTTCAATCCCATAGATGAGCATGGAAGTGCAATACATGATCTTTCAATGGCTGGTTAACTGTTTTTTTCAGGCTGAATGTTCCAAAACAAATTGTAAAGGCAGAAGTTTAACCAAGAGCAGACAATCATAATTGGGGTAGGCACCACATCTAACCAGTGCACTAATATTAATGTACAAGAGTGCCAAACAGGCTGCTGAGGAAATCCTAAATACTGAGTGCAGCCTGGAGAGATTAAACAATCTTGCTATCATTTATAAGTGTAGATGTTTTAAAGGAGCAGTTTATGCTTTAAAGTTGCTGTGTGCGTAAGTACCACTGTGCAGCTTTGTGAAAGGGATTGATTTTATGACATGTCCTTTTGGACATCAGAGGGAGAGTGTCAGGTTGCCCTAGACCTTAATTCACAGTGATGTTCAAATGTTGCTTTTGGCACCTGTCCTGAACTTGGCTGTGGTATAATTTTTTCCTGCAAGCTGGGGAGATGCAGGCAGGTGCTGTTATCAGAAAGAAACCCCTGTGGTTATCACAAATAGGATTTCTCCCCTTTTGCCCATAAAATCTTGACAGCATTCTGCATGGTCTGTTATCCCACATCACACTTACCAATAGGAAAAAAGTGATTAATCAGTCAGGAGCTGGAAATTGGCTCTGTATTTCAGCAGGAATCTAACCTGAGCCAGGTGCTCTCCTGTCTTTCCCAAATGCCACTTCGTGGTTGTCTTCACCGTTTGGCTATCAGCTTCTCATGTGAATGAAGGGAGTCAGGTTTGGTCCTTGGTGCAAACCTCTGAGGGGGCTTGCTTGTTATCTAAGCATAGGTAACGAGTACCTTGCAGAATCAGCACCTTGTAGCTCTTAACAGTTGTTTTTTCTCTCTGTCTGAAAAGTGCTTGGTTGAGGCTGTGGACAGAAAGCTTGGGGAATTCATGGTTCTGAAAAGGTGACAAAAAGAGGGGAAGGAGTATTGAAAGGGTCTTTCTGCTGTAGAAAGTGGTAAAACCACTCTGGGAAAGGCTGTGATTTTTCAAAAGCCTGCTGGCACTATTTGTAGTTCCCTTTGAGTTGTGTTACTTGAATTATCTGTGAAGCATTTTGAAGGTGGAAGATGCTCTGTACAGAACTACCAGCTCAAATCTAAAGCCTGAAGTTGTGTTTGGCATCCAGATGCTCCCTCCCAAAGGCATTGGCTTTGTGTTACAGCACAACCCAGAAGATCTTTGTTTTCTGCTTCGAAGCTGCAGCTAGACCCTTGTAAGTACAGCTGGTGAGCTTTAGCCTTGATACAGGCACAAATCAAATGCAGTGCTCGTCCAAGTTGTGGCCCCATCTGTCTGTAATCAGAGGGATCTCAAAGCAGTTCTGACACTAAATTGGTGACAGGATGTTATTAGAAGTGTCCCTCAGTAAGTCCTGAGAGCTGTAGTTCATAGAAATAAAACAAAGGTAACTGCTGTATGTTTGCATGTTGAGTACAGATGTGGTTGTCACTATTGGCAGCAGCGTGAGGATTTCGTTACACATTGCGTGTAGGTCATGTTTAAACTTGTTGATTCTTTGTTCTGGACAGAGGCTTGGGACACCTTTTGTCACGCATCTGAGAGCTATTAATAGGAGTGTTTGAGCCAGAAAAAACACAACATACACCTTGTCATTATTTCGAAAAGCTTTTTTCTGGGGGAAGTTCGGTTGGCACAGGAAAGCCAGATCTTAATGCTCTTGGCTTTGGTTGTGGACTGCTCGCAGAGAGCAGTGGGTGGCCGCCCTACTTGATGAGAAGTCGCAGCTCGAAGTGCTTATAAGAACAAAGCCCACCCATCTTCGTGTCTTCAGACCGCAGGTCTGCTTCCCCGGCCAGTGTCGGCAGGAGCGGGAGCTCATCCCCACCACCTCCTGCCCCGGCAGCTCACCCGCGCCGCTGGGTGCCCCTCAGCGGGAAGGCGGGAGGCTCGACCGCGGGCGCCTCTGCTGGGGGCGGCCGGTGCTGCCGCTCCCTGTGCGGCGCCTCCTCAGCCCGGCAGCGCGGCGGGCGGGCAGAGGGACGGGAGCTCGCCGCCGCCGCCGCTTCGGAGCTGTGGCAGCGCAGCCGGACCCCACGGCCCGCCTTGAGGGCGGCGGTGGGGAGCGCCTCCGCTACCGGCCATGGAGCTCTCTCTGCGGCTGCTCCTGGCATCCTGCCTCTCCCTGGGGGTGGCTGGCGAGTTTGACAGGAGGTAGGCGCCGGCTTTCGCGGGCGCTGCTCGGGGCTGGACGCGCGCTTGGTGCTGCTTCGGGCAGGTTGGAGCCCCGCGGGGCGAGCGGAGGGAGCCCGGGATCACCCCCGGCGGGGCGAGGGGCGCCGTCGGTAGTAACGGCACGCGGGCTCCTGACCGCCGGGGAGTGAAATGGCGGCGGGGTCTCGTTACAGGTCCCGGGACCCCAGTCCCCCCTCCCGGCCCAGGAGCGGTGCCCGCGGCCGGCTGGCTGAGGGGGCCCAGCCGCACGGCCAAACCGCCCCCGGCCAAGGTGGAGGCGCGGGTCCGGCGGGACCTGGAGCCGCTCCCGGGGCTCCCCGATGGGCTGTTTCGGCCCCGCGCCCTCCGGCCGGTCCTCCCCGCGCGTTACTCGGCAGCTCAAGTACGGGCTGAGGTACGGAGCGTTTATTACTCCGGTGGGGTGGCGTCCTGCAAGGATTAAAACCGAAGTACTTTGCGTGCTGTGAAAATAAAATCAGTTTATTGACGCCTCGAGGCACTGAAACAGAATACGGTGAAGATCACAACTCAAGTTTTAACATGAAGCGAGGTGAAAATGGATGCTCGGAGAGCGGGTGCCTCATGGGTCGTGCCGAGCGTGTCAGGTGTAGGGAGCGGCTGCGAGGCGGGCCGGGGAGCGAGCGGGAGAACCCCGCATGGTGCTGCGGGGAGCTGTCGCGGCGGTTCTGTGTGCGGACAGATCGGGCAGCGAGATCCCCCCTCAAGGATTCATTCCCTTTGGGCTTCGTTCAAAGGCAGTGGGTTTCAGCTTGTCGTTAAAAAACATTAACGATTTATGTCAATACTTTGTAATTGCTTGGGACCGTGGAGTCATTTCCTTGGAACAAGGGAAGACTCGGCTCTTCTGTTGTATTTAATTTCTGTTCAACAGTTCAGGAAACTTTTGTTTTGCTTTTTTTTTCCCTTTAATGTTTCAGTGAGAAAAGTTGGCCGTGTGTTGCAAAATAAGCCAGTGCTGAAACTTTCTGATGATGGTTTATTCCAGTTTACAAATCCTTTCAGACTTCTGGAATTATTCAATACCAGCCTGGAAGCGGCAGCAGTGAGCACACTGCAGAGCACGTCGGTGATTTTAGGCGTTTTCTCTCTTTTGCCTATCGTCGTTTACATTTTCTACACTAAACTATTAACAATAGAAATATCATATGCTCAGCTTAAAGCAGTTTCTATTTTGTTTTTGTTTTTTTTTTAACTTTTATATGTCTCTATGCAGGAGAGGTTTTTGCTGCTGTTTGTCTTTTGTTTTTTTTTTTTTAAATCTAAAATAATTTTAGCTACTTTGAAAATGTTTCACTAGACTGTTTTGAACTGTCTCGCTCAGGTGGCCCAGGCAAATAGTCTCCTCCACAGGACTGTGTCAGTTTGGGAGTAGAATTGACTGCTGCTGGGGCTGGGCCCGGTTGTCCTGGGGACAATGCCAACGTGAGTATCACTGCTGCTGGGGCTTTTAGTCACTTGTAGAGAAGGCTTGTACACATCCCATCACCTCTTTCACGTGTTCACATACATCCTTGCAACACAGGGCTTAGGCTTTTCACGTCTGAGCCTGACTGACTTAGAAGGATGTTGTCATGTTAAAATTCTGTCTATGATTAACAGCAGTACTGAAAATCATTGTGTTTGAGTAAGGTAAACTTTAGCTGGGGCAATGAGAATTTGGGGATTTCTGTTTGGTTTCCACTTCATTTCATGCTCTGGTCTAGTAGCCTGACGTAACACTACACTGTGTCATGTTACAAGCACTGCAGGGCAAGAATACTTGTGTCCAAGAAGGAAACCAAGCTGTTGATATTTCACTGAGAAAGTCCATGGAAATGTTTCAGTTAGTATTAAGTTCAAGCATTCTTTCAGTAACCCTAAATTAAGGGAATAAATCCAACTGACAGCATCCTTTTACTGGGTCACACGTGAAGAGAAACATCTCTGAGATTCTCACATCTGTCTAGAACCCTTGATATGATTGCAGCATAACTAAGGAGATAAGTCTTCATCATTAACTATATCTTCAAAAGGTGTTCTGTGGTGGCAGCTAGCACTGTGTGGAACTTAAAGTTGTTAGGAGTGTCATAGAGAGCTCAGCTTGTTAAAATTATAGCCTTTGATATGGGAACACTTGCTCATGTGTTTAACAGTGCACATATGAGTGATATCCCCTAAATTTTTGCAGGAGTGAACCTATAAATACTGTTCTTTTTTATTTTATTGAGATGCAAATGTCTGAAAAGTAGATAATTTTCTGACAAGTCGTTTTTTAAATAAACCAGGTATTAAATACTGTCATTGCTTAATCTGCAGGGCAGTGACTGCAGGTGCCAAATATTAGGCAAAAGATAGAAATAGCATTGGCAATTCAACTGTGGACTCTCAGCAAAGGTTTTGTTCAAATCTGTAAACAGCAAGACTGGCTTTTTTCTTCCCAAGTGTGTTAAAAGCCTACAATGTTTAATAGGTATATCAGATGACTGCTAAAAAAAGCTATGTAAATAAAGTACTTCTGGAACATAACATACCTGATACTGTTTTTTGATGCAGAGTTCTCAGGTTGGTATCTCTCAGGCCATACCATGAATCACTTTGATTTTTAGGGCTCTGATTGGTACCAAGTAGTTGGTTCCTTGGGCTGAATGATTATAGAGAAAGAAGGAGAATGTGAAGTAGGTTTATTGAGGCTGCTCCAGAGCTGATAGCATATATGTCCATCTTTTGTAATGCAGTTTTATTTGAAAATCATTGAGCATTTAAATGTTTGAGGCTACAAAAGCTTAATTGGCAAGTATCAAAAATTCACATTGTTTAAAAACAAGACCAAATCCTCAAAACATTAAAAGAGTCTCCCTGTGGCCCTTTTGTTACACAAGTCGTTGCCTGTGTTGTGACCATAAATTGCAGCTGGAAGTCAATTTCTCGCTATTACCAAGTCTGATTTGAGGTTGCATTTTTTATGATCTTGGGAGACAGCAACAGCAAAAGTGATGCAAGCAAAAGATTCATAATTAAAAGTTGAAAACAAGACAAGTAATACTACACAAAAAGTATATTTTATTCTTCGAATTTTGTCAATGGGGTCATTTCTAGTGCAAACTTTTTTAGGTATCATAAATGCTCTTTTTGTTTTTTAAGGTTAAAGCTGGGTGAATTCTCACCTCCTTCCACTGCATTTTAGTCCATTATTCACAGATTTGCTTTCTATGCACATTTCGAAGAATTGCAGAGACGGATTTTACATGGTCATCTCCAGTAGCTAAGACCAGACTTTCAAAAGAATATGGTTATCACTTAGGTGTCTGAATGCATTTTTTTCTTATCTTTTTTTTCCCATAATGGGTGCTGATTATTTTTGAATCACTAGCTCAGAAGAGTCTCAGATATTTGGGCAAAGACTTTATCAAAAACTTAGAAGCTCCTTCTAGTTTTCAGATGGCAGCCAAACTTGTCAAAATAAAGCAAGAAAATCTTCTCCAGTTGTGGGTGGTGAGAATTCCAGTCATATCACAGAGCGGGAGATTACACTAAATGAAAGTGAATCTCTTTAGTGCTTGAAATGAATCTTTCTAGTGCTTGCAGCCAAACAGAAAACCTGTAGTCAACTCTCCACCTTGGGAATGTGGCATTCAGTATAAAAGATTAACCTGGCACAGAACACAGCATTCCTGGCCTCAAAGGAAAACTCGAGTGCTTTTACAAAGGGCCAAGTACACAATTAGTTCTCCCATTTTCTCTATGGAGAAAGGCATACCTCCTAGTCCTGTCCCTGAATTGGTGACATAAATACACGTCAGACTTTCTTTACTAAATGTATCTTTTCTTTGCCATTTCTAGAGTAAACTGTACTTGCACAATGAAAATGTATAAAGTCAGGTCTAAATATTAGTGATGAGACTCAGTTTACAAGTGAGTCTAAAAGAGAAGCTGTAAATACTCAAGCAATAATGCTGAGCTCTTCATTAGTAAGCTTGAACTGCTTTTCTCAAACTAGTTTGAGCCATCCTTGGTATGCCTCCAAGTGCTACAGCACCTTTGGACTCTCACCTGCTTACTCAAGCATAATTTACTATGTAGGCACTAATTACCTCTGAATTTATCTTTCTGACAACAAATGTAAGGTAAGAGCCATGCTGGAGCCAGAGTGTAGCAAGAACACAGGCTCTGGTACCTGATAGGTTTGTCCCAGTTTAGAACCACAATGAGCCATGGGGTGGTGATTGTTAACATACCTGAATACAGACTCTGCTGTCCAGCTGAGCTGCTCCACTAAACATGTGTGGGCATGCCTTCTGCCCACCTTTATTGAGAAAAAGGTGTGTTAGTTTAAACCAACTGTGAGATTTAAGGTAAAATGTGACAGACGTTTAAGCCTGTATATGTCAGCTCTTCACAGGGTAGCAGTGTGGCACAGCTGACGTGGTAACTCATTAAACATTGGTAACTCATTGCTCCTCATCCTCCATCCATAATCCATCCATACAGTTGCAAATGGAAAATGAACCGTGTTATCTAAACTTGCTTTTGTGAAATGTGGAGCAATTCCTTCTGTGTCAGTTTGACTGACAAAGGAGTGCACATAGACCATAATCATGCTTACTGCTGCTTGGTAACGCAAGTCAGCATAACTCAGCTATCTTTTCACTCTTATAAACATGTAGGAAGAAGTTGAGATCAGGCTTCTCCTTTAATTTATGCTCTTCCTTTAAAACATTCTCTGTGTCCTGTTGATAAATTACACCAAGACCTGTACATGTAAGGAAGTGCATATAGGTCTGATCTGTCTGTAAACTGTCAGCGTGAGCTGTAACATCTCAGCTAGTACAAATATTCTCTCTTCTGCGAGATGAAATTGACTTCCCAAATGCCCTTTCCAGTTCCAGCAAATGCACTTAGGTGTCCTTCCAACTGAAATAATCAAGAACTTTGAAGGAGGTTGGATGAGGTGGTTTTTTTTCTTCTTTATTTCTTGCATGTTATGAACACCAAAGTGGGATCCAAGTTTTAGACAACTAGATCCACTTTGATTTAAAAATAGGCATATTCTCAAAGGGGCTGAACAAACCTAACTCAAATTCATTGGCATTTCTTAGTCCCTGTAAATTGAAAATCCATCCACACTTGTTTAATGGCCGAATCTAGATTTAGAACTGTGGATATATCTCATCACTAATGTAACAAAGTAGCTTTTCTGAGGTTTTGATCTGGTGTGTAAACCAGGTTTATTGGTTAAACCCTGAGTGTAAAAAGTCTAATTTGGAAGCAGCAGAAATGTTAATAGCAACAACTCTTAGTTTATGTAAAGTACCCTGCTCATCAGTAGAGCTGATCCTTTACATTGGTGGACTCACAGTATCAGTCCTTTAAAGTTAGATATTCAATATCCCAGTTGAAATCAGTCCAAAATCGCATGTTGTAGTCCAGATTCTGGGATTTACTTGCACCTTAATAAGTGATAGTGGGAATAATACGTGTGGGTGAGAGTAATCACACAAAAGCCTGCTTCTGTGAAAAATGTTATGTTGATAAAGTAGAGACATATGTAAAAATAGGGCTGTTGACTTCTGTTTTTTATGTGCTATTGTTGTGCACACAGCAAGACTATAACCCAGAGCAGAAGTGAGGGTAGAAAATTTCTTCTGGATTTCTTCTTTCTGAGTAGGGGGTTTTGACTTCTTGTGACAGAACGTTTTTTGGTAACAGCAGAATATCAACGGTACAATTTTAATTCCTAATTCCTTTTGCATTGTAAGGCAACTGCATCTGCGTACTGCGTAACCCGGTACCCAGTCAATGGATTTTAAAGCATACAGGGAAACCCAAATTGGGGCCCGCATCATTGCACACATCTTGCATAAATACACATTTCTGTGTGCCAGCAGAAAAAAAAAAATTGCCTTAGGGAGTGCATTCAACCATTTTTATCTTTTTTTTTTTTTTTTTCTTTAAATATGTTATTCAGCATTAATTGTCGTGATTTGAAATATCTGCACTTCCTGCAGTGGTAGGGCTGGATGAGAAATGTCAACTGCAGAACAGAAAACAGTTGTGTCCATTCCTGTGTTCTAGCTACCATAGTCTAGGAGACCTGCTGAAGCCTGTCATGTCCTCCCCCCTAATGAGATGTCTTTTACAGCATTCCACTGTCAGGGATGGCTGTTTTCTGGAGTGTTTCTCAAGGAAAGGATAATCTGGGCCTTGCTGTCCAAGTGTCTCTGCTTGGTCAGAGGTGTGCCAAGCAGTAGGGAAGCCCTTGGGACCACTGCTGACCTACCCTCACTGGTAATCCAGTGTACAGAAATGAGCTGTGAATATATACCCACATAGTGAGCTCTGGAACTTTGTTAGCCTATCAGAACACTAACAGAAGGGATAAGAGATACACCCATTTCATGCAGAGACTTATGTGAGAAGTAGTGTGATGCTTTTCATTCTTCAGC